CGTATTCGAGATATTTGAGAAAATGTGTAAATTTCGAATTTTGAAAAAAACTCAAAAACAGATAAAGAAAAAAACATTAAATTTTAAACTTAAGGTTTATTTCGGCCTGACGTGAAACGATTAGATTTTGGACAAAGTCGGAACATCTGGGGGGGTACTTTATGGGAGGCCGTTTTTATATTTTATGGAATATATCTGTTATTTATGTTTGGAGAGGAAAATTGTTCAAATAAAAGTTACTTCTAATATTATTATCTGTAATTACTTTCCTATCTGTATACAGATATAAGGAAAGTATAGGAATCATGATTTTTTTCGACCTTGAGTTTTCGACAGATTTTTACGTTTTGAGGTCCCCTGAATCCGTTTTGACTATTTTCGCGATGATGTCTGTGTGTGTGTCTGTGTGTCTGTGTGTGTGTGTGTGTGTGTGTCTGTATAACGCATAACTCATGAACCGATACACAGAAAAACACCAAATTTTAAACTTAAGCTTTGTTTCAGCGTCCAATGAGCTGATTAGATTTTGGGCAGTGTCGGAACATCTGGGGGGGTACTTTATAGGTGGTCATTTTTATATTTTATGGAATATATCTGTTATTTACGTTTGGAGAAGAAAATTCTTCAAATAAAAGTTACTTCTAATATAATTATCTATAATTTTTGTTTTATGCAAAATTTTCCTAAAATGGTCCGTATTCGAGAAATTTGACAAAATGTAAAAAACATAATTTTTTATAAAAATTGTTCAAATAAAAGTTGTTTATAATATAATTCTCTATAATTTTTGTCCTATACATAATTTCTCTAAAATGGACCGTATTCGAGATATTTGAGAAAATGTGTAAATTTCGAAATTTGAAGAAAACTCAAAAACGGATAAAGGAAAAAACATTAAATTTTAAACTTAAGGTTTATTTCGGCCTGACGTGAAATGATTAGATTTTGGACAAAGTTGGAACATCTGGGGGGGTACTTTATGGGAGGCCGTTTTTATATTTTATGGAATATATCTGTTATTTATGTTTGGAGAAGAAAATTGTTCAAATAAAAGTTACTTCTTATATTATTATCTATAATTTTTGCTATATGTAAAAATTTCCTGAAATGGTCCGTATTCGAAAAATTTGACAAAATGTGCAAAATTCTGATTTTTATGAAAATTGTTGAAATAAAAGTTGTTTGCGATATCGATCTCTATAATATTTGTTCATACATGATTTTTTTAAAATGGACCGTAATGGAAAAATTGTAGGAAAAGTGCTAAATTTAAATTTTTCAGTATTTTCATTTTCAATGAATATCTATAGAAAAATGTTTCGCGGTAGATGTATGTGGACAATGTATATATTTAGTTTATCCTCTAAACATTTATAGAGATACTGCAATAGGTTGTACAAAATAACCGGAAAAAGCCTGTAATAACTAGATAGGAAAGTCATGTGTTGGACACATCAGATTTTTTAAAGTACGGCCCGTTTGACCAATATACAATTTTAACACAATTTAATTTATTTGAATAAGGATAATTTCCTGACCGTAATAGAATTTTATATAAATACCGAACGGAAAGCGGTAGAACAGCCTAACAACCTAAAGTCGGCTTACTTAAAAATGATGATTTTTTAATTGACTATATAATTAGGTACTAATAATAACACTAAGCAATATGTATGAACAAGCATCATTTACTATTTTCCATTTATTTTGTCTTAAAATATACGCGCCCCTGGTTTACAACTTTCTAGGTAAGCTACCAATTCTATTCATCGGTAGGCGTGTTCGTAGCATTATAAATGCGCGTCCTTGGTTCTTTAGATTTGGCGTTTACTGTACTTTTATTAATTTGTATTGTGCTGGATGAGCTTCAAGCAGCGGCGGCTCGTAATTTAAGACATTGGGTGTTCTGCAAGATTCTGTCTCCCTTCCCCCCAAAAAAGCAATAATAATAATTATTATTTTTCAACTTTTGTGCATATACTTTTTATACATTAATTCTATTCTACGGCCCATAAATAGGAGTTACAAATGAAACATTTTCTGTAGATTAATTTAACTCATACGAAGACAAATCCGACAGAAAAAAAAAAGAATATTTGTTAAAACCAATGTATAGTAAAACCAGAGATCTAGTGACTCTCATAAATCATATTAACCGACGACCCTCATTATCACTATTGTTCGATTTGTAGATAAGCGATAAAATTGTCTGTTGGTTAAAAGATTTCCAGGTCCGGATTAAAATATATATTCTCATGAAATAGTAAAGAATATGTTTCTTTAATAATATTGTTACGCAAGTTTTTGATATCTCAATTTATTTCAACTCAACTTCTATAACAACTATGCAACTGATAACATTAACGTATAACGTCTATTGTAAAACTGAAAACTGACGTCAGGATCATCCTTATATAGCTTGCTTGACCCTTCTAGAACCTTCTCGAACTGTCGTCTAGAATATTCTTGACGGGTAATGACATTTTCAGACATTTCTGGACTATTCTGTCTTCTTTTACTTGTACTTTAACTTATGACGACCGCAGCATACTGTAGGGCGATGAGTAACATTCCACTTCTTTTTCTATCTGTACGTTTCCTATAATAGCCGCAGGCTACTGCAGGATGCTGCGTATTATAATTGAGGGCTCTTTATTTCAATTGGTAACAGTTTTGAACGTAAAACTATTTTTATAATAAAAAATTTCCTAGAATTTAAAGTACTTATAAATAAAATTTACTTGCCTAACCACCTGAATTTCTGTACTAAACGTCTATTAAGGAGATTAGCGATAATGGGATGTAGAGTTACAAATAAATTACCAGACTTTGAAGACAAAAATACTATTATTTAAGATATCGAGTCCTATAATTCCAGATATATTAGAGAAAGTTAAATAAAAAAAAGGTCAAAAAGGTCAAAAAAGGTCAAAAAAAGGTCAAAAAAAGGTCAAAAAGGTCAAAAAAAGGTCAAAAAGGGTCAAAAAAGTTAAAGAAAATGCCAAAAAAGGTAAAAAAGGTCAAAAAAGGTCAAAAAAAGGTCAAAAAAGGTCAAAAAGGCCACAAAAGGTCGAAAAAAATCAAAAAAAATGTAAAAAAAGATTAAAAAAAGGTCAAAAAAGATCATCAGTTTATAATTTATAAACCAATTCATAATCAATATATACTTTGTCATACTGATTTTTGCTTTTACCAAGTTACCACGTTACTTTTTGTACACACTGTAGAATTACATAAACAACTCTGAATTATAGCGATTTTGCTTAATATTTATTTTACCCCAATCATTGACCTATAGAACAAAACTTAACGGCTAGGGTAGGTACGTCTTTGCGTAGAGGCGACCGTCTGCTGATAAGTAAATTACCTGCTGTTTTATGATAGTCACTAGATCTCTGGTTTAACTATACCTAGCAATTTATAATTAAAATGCAATTTATTATTATAAATTTAAAAGAAAAAATATATGTTAATATTTTAATTAATGAAAACAATTTCTAAAAGAAAATTTAATTTGATAAACGCAAGGACTAAAAACAACTAGATTAATCTGATCATTCATTGTTAATCCTTATTTATTGTAAGTATTCAGATTGTGTTTTATATTAGACAAACAGAGCTGTCGCATTGGCTGCGGCATTAGAAAGAACGAGACGGCTGCGGCATTAGAAAGAGCGAGACGGCTGCTAAATTGAGTGAGGATGGTTGTATGAGCTTGTTTATCTGAGGTGCGAGCACGCGCTATATGAATGAACCAGTAGTCCATTTAAAATAACGGTAAAAAGTCAAGAAACGCCGCACTTGACACTTGTCCCCTACGTATTTTGGGGCGCTGATTACGAAAATGAGGGTTAAAACTGGCAGCAATGGTTGGAACACATCTAAAATTGCAAAAAACACCCATAAATAGGCGTGTTTTTCGACTATACTTGTTGTTTTGCAAACTAACTCATCTCATATGTTTTTTGGGGCGCTGATTTCGAAAATCGGGGTGTCAAGACTGGAAAATTTGTGTGACACCCCCCACATGCCAGAAACACTCCTCCCAACCGGTGGATTTTAGGGGTGGTTCACCCATTGCTGCAAGTTTTAACCCAGATTTTCGTAATCAGCGCCCCAAAAAACATATAAGATGGCTTAGTTTGCAAAACAACAAGTATCAATTTTAGGGGTGTTTCAACTATTGCTGCCAGTTTCAACCCTCATTTTCGTAATCAGCGCCCCAAAATACGTAGGGCACAAGTGGTCTCGTCAAGTGCGGCGTTTCTCGAACTTTTACAGTTATTTTAGATGGACTACAGGTAGTACTACTATGATTCCTGCTTTACACCGTTGCCACACTGTAAATATGTATAATTTAACTACAATAATAGTTGGAACCAGGAAAAATATATTAAACAAATAATAACTGGCATTAAGAATGCAAATATACTTCCTTACTGTATTTTTAAAGCCTTTTGTGTTTTGTAGAGCCTTATGTTAAGTCAATTCCGAATTATAATCATAAAAAATCCTTGTAATAACACTTTCCCATAATAATTTGGCAACTACTTGGATAACACAATAAAAATTTGCAATTCGGTTTTTGTAAACAAAATTAGTCTAGTAGTTGTTAGTCGTTGGATAAAAATTAAATAAATAAAGTTATTATATGATATTCAAAAAATTTGAATATTTAAATTCTCCTGCAAAATTTACTGTCGTCCTAAAAAGAAAGGTCGTATTTGAAAAATTATCAGTTTTTTCAATCTCTCTGCATTTGCCTGCATTCTGTCTTTCTTGATACCAAAACCGAATGTCCTATTGCGCCGTAAAGGTACTAAAACGTAAAAGAGTTTCACAGAAGAAGTTTAGAAGATAACAAATATGTCTGCGAAAAATAGTTAAAAACTAGATTGTTTCCAAACAACAAATGTTCAGATAGGACCTTTCTTGCTAGAAGGGCAGTTTAGAACTCTTATGAACTATATGTTTTAATATTATTTTTAATTTACACATACCTAGAAATATCCCGATGTATCTTAAACCTTTTCCAAAACATGAACGCTTTTCTTTGAATCTGCAAAAAAAAGAGAAAAAGATTAGTACATAATTTTCAGTATATGATAATTAGATAAATAATCACTATTGTACAGTCGTTTCAAAAGCCTGTGGATGGGTTTCTCAGCATTAATGTGCTATACATGGTGTTTACAATGTCATGCCAATATTCAAAGAGGAACATAAATCGTTTCCCCATTTTATGATTAAAATTTCTTTTAAGCGTTGTTTTTTCAAGGACACAGGGTATTTCTTTAATATCTCAAACACTCTTTTGATTTTTTTTATTAAAGTTTGTTTATAGTACTATAGTCTATTTTTATGATTGAGAGAGTAATAAAACAGCATTTCTAATGCAAAACTAAGTACGGTCATTTTAAATATTTTTACAGAATAATCTAAATATTTCCTAAAATTGTAATAAATGTACCTGAGCTATTACAAGTTTTGGGTCTTTTATTGGTCCTTTATAAACATAAGCTGTACAGAACAATAGAAAAAGGTTTGAACAGGCCAAAAGCCCTGTGTATTAAAGATTGCATAGCCGTATCTTAAGATTATTTTCAATAAGTACCTATTTGCCAATTTTGTTTTATTTTAATTCCAAGAATTTCTTACAGTAATCGAATTATAAGTAGATAAATACCTTCCCAACAAATTTCACCGAAAATTCGATTATAGGTTTTCCATTTAGTAAGGAGGTCCAAGTTGTGTATTCTTGACAGTTTACTAAATGTCGTTTAGTTGCAACTTGCAAGGTGCAGTGTGAATTCTAGTGTGATCATGGAAAATTTGGAAGGGCCGCATAAACGACAAAAAAATCGGTCCTTTAACAGTTAATGAAAAAAACATTAATATTTCATTGTTTTAAATCATTTACAGACAAACATTTATGTAAAAGTGTTGATGACACAGTGGAATTAGTTAGTAGTACGCTTGGTGTTGGAAAATCTACGATTTACAGAGTTGTTAAAGAAGAGAAATGTGGCGAGTTTCAAACAGCACGTAAAGCTCCAGGAAAACCAAAATTTCAATTAGAAAATCTTTTGAAAGAAAGACTTCGAAGGAAAGTGCATGCGTTCTTTTTTAGAAAAGAATTTCCGACAGTAGACAAAGTTCTTACCACGGTTCGAGGTGATAAGGATTACCCTGAAATGAGTCGAAGCACACTATGGAAACTTTTAAAAGAAATAGGTTTTCTATGGAAAAAGCATTCCAGAAAGTCTATTTTAATAGAAAGAAGCGATATTGTAGTATGGAGAAGAAATTACCTAAGGACTATAAAAGAAATGAGAAACCAAAGAAGAAATATATTTTATTTAGATGAAACATGGATCAACGAGGGACATAAACCAAATAAATTTTGGCAAGATGAAACTGTTACAAGACCGGCTTTTTTAAATAATTTATCTACTGGTTTAAATCCACCATCAGGAAAGGGGCGCAGACTAATAATAGTTAGTACACATCGGTAGTTCAAACGGTTTTATTAAAGGTGGTTTATTGACTTTTGAATTTACTCGTACCGGTCACTACCATGAGGACATGAATGCTGATGTCTTTAAAGAGTGGTTCGAACAAATTATAGATCTTCTTCCTCAGAACTGTATAATAGTAATGGATAATGCAAGTTATCACTCGAGACTTATAGAAAAAATGCCCACAACCAAGTGGTTAAAAAAAGATTTACAGAATTGGCTAAATTCAAAGAATATTAAGTTCCATCCCGGTTCTGTGAGAAAAAAATTGTATCATTTGTGTTCCCTTCATAAAGAGAAATTCCAAAAATATGAAATTGATGAAATTGCAAAAAATCGTGGGATGACGGTGGTTAGATCACCACCATATCATTGCGAAGTAAACCCGATTGAACTGATACGGGCTCAGATAAAGGGAGATTTTTTCACAAAAAATAAATCTTTTAAAATGAGTGATGTTAAACAGTTGTTTTTGGAGGCTGTAAATAATGTGAAGCCTGAAAACTGGGAAAAAGCATCATACGATTAAAGAAGAAGAGAAAATGTGGAAGTTGGACAATATTACTGATGAAATGATCGAGTCACTCATTGTAAATATTGGTTGCGACAGTTCATCTTCTGATTTCGATTCTGATTTGGATTTGTAGGTAAGAAGTAGTTTTTATATTAAAATTATTATTTATGAACGTAACGTTGTTTAAAAGTCAAAGTTTAAACCCTTATACCTACATAACCCGTTTGACACAATGTTCTTAACATACCTTGTGGAAAAATAAAACATTTTAGAAAAAATTGCACTTTTTTACCTTCATCTGTTTAGACGTTATAAACAGGTTAATTAGGTGAAAATATAAGTGTATACTCGAGAAATAACTTCAAAAAATATTTTAACTGTCTACTAAAAGAAGTGATACGCCTATGGATTACGAACGCTTTATTATTTTAATACTCTCTCATACATAAAAATAGACTATAAGAGGGTGACTAAAATCTGATTAGATTAAAATTATTAAGTCCAATGGCCTCCCGGAAACCAAAAATTTTAGCATCATGTATTTTTAAAAGAATCAATATGAAATTTTGGACATAAAATAGGCCAACTACTATTTGTCAAAGTAAAGGTACATAAGTTTAAACGCGGGCTATCTAAGCTAAAATGTTTTAGAGACCGTAAGTGGGAGTGAGGTGACAATCGTCAATCATACAATTTGAGCACCCAGGCTCTTTGCACTGATCAGCGGTATTTGTTTTAAATTAGTTTTAATTTCTAAGACTCAAATATTGTTATTATTCAGTAGTACACGCCATATGTTTACTTTTTATTAGTAAATTACTGCAAAAAACAGCAATTATGAAAGGTTTTTCAGAAAATGAAAGTACTTATAGAATAAATTAAGTGTTAATATTAACAATTACTAAAAAAAAAATGCGTACATTGTACAGCACTCGTTTTTACTTAATAATTGAAATGATGAACTTTTCCTTTTTTCTTAGCGTGCATTGACCATGTGATAATTTCTCTGTTACTCCATTCTTTCAGAAACAAAAAAAAATGATCTTCGTGCGTGTACGTAGTTATAATTAATTAAGTAAAAAGTACATCAGGAACAAAACTTAGGAAGTGATTATTAAAAGAATGCAGATTGTATAGTCGCAATATGCGTGGCCCGGACTCTGTTTTTTAAATAAAAAAAAAGAAGAATTGTGAGAGACCAAGCTGATGTTTTCTTTAGTCGTTTACCTCTAGTTTCATTTGGTGAATCATGTCAAACCATTTGTTTCAATAGAAAGTAGTGATTAAATCGTCTTGTTCATTTTCTTACAAATAGATCAGAGTTTAAGAAAAATTACTTCAAAAACAATCATTTATTGTAAATTACTTTATAAGGAAAATCTAGAAATTGTAAATTTTTTTCTATATTATTTGGTATAAAGTTATAAAGTATGCTGTAACTATATTTTTTAAAGAAGCTGACAAACTTATCAATTATCTCTGAAAAAAATTTTTTTTTATTCAAATAATTAAAATATTTTACACCCTGGCACTGAAGCTTAGTTTTCTTCCAAACCTCCGGCTTTTAACTACCGAAAATCTCCACGAACTTAGACATACGACAGATGTCATTTTTGTCATTACAACATACAATTTACGATATGAAATGTAATAGGTAATCGTCTTAAATTTAACGATCTAAAAATGTTGTCCAATTAAAATTTGTTAAACAAAGTTGCTAAAAATAAAAATTGGCGCCTAATTGGATAAAATATGTTAAAAAAAGTAAAGCAATTTCAGTTAAAAATATAAGTGAAAATTAAAATGTCATGCATATTTTTTGTTGAATTTTTTTTCATAGCGATATGTATCTAATGTGTGTAAAACTCGCTAATAAGTTCCTATTACACTCGTTAATGTCGCAAGAATTTGTTAATGTCAGTTCTTACTAGTTGATAGTTTCAAATTAAGAAAAAATATCAAGTTGTAGCGAATCCAATTTTGAAAAATTGATTCATTAATGGAAGAAAATAATTAGAAAAATATAAAAAAATTTATTTTTTTTACACCTACATGGATATTACCTTATCTACGCACAGCCTACAAAACTAAAAAGTATGCCATTGCGTTCAACTGAACGAATATATTTCATATTCATTCTACATAGTAAGAATACTGTAAAAAAATTAAATCTGCCAACCCCAGATCATATTTTGGTCACCCGGCTACTATAATTTTTTAAATTTTATAGATTTAAGTCACAATTTTGTCAAACTAATTATCAGTACATTGTTTAGTTATTGAGATTAAATATACTTAAAAATGAAGTATTCTTGTGTAGAATCGATAAATAATAGCATATTTCTATTTTTATTTCATCTACATTTACAAATATGTCATAAAAATGTAATCAAACTATATGAAACTAATTTAATTACGAGTATTAAAACTAAAATCGTAAGTGTGGCGATAGAGGTCAGAACACGGCGTTTATCTTCCACGCGAGAAGTCTGGGTTCAAATCTGAGCTGGGGACTAATTATAATAATAGTTTATTCAATTTTTGTTTTACATATAATATTACAACTTTGTATAAAAATTATTTGAATAACCTACGAAATAATCACAGAAGTGTCACTCCAGAAGAAGTTCAGCTTGTATTGTGATGTTAGATGTTATACAGAGTTCATATATCCTTAATCCTAATCTTAATTACTAATATTAATTTCTAATAATATTTCTATCAATAATTTCCAATAATATTTCTATCAATAATTTCTAATATATATTATAATGCAAAATTAAAAGCTAAGTGCAGTCTCGAAATCTCAAAATCGGGTATATTGTCATCTTGGATAATGTCATAATCAAGTATAACTGTTAAAAGGTAAAATGTCAATATGTTGAAAAGATATGAGTGTCCATAAATTAGTTATAATTAATTATTTATTAAGTTTATTGGTTTACACGCTTGAATTTACAAATTTAAGAAAAATTGTTGTCGTTTTCTTTTTTCTTTTTTAATTTATATTTAAAGTGTTTGTATCGT